GCACCCGCCATCAGAGGTGCCTGGTTTGATAGGTACCGCATGATTTTGACCTTTTATTTAGTATTTGCTCATCTTGGGGAAAGAACAAATTACCTATAAGCTGGTAATCACCTAGAGGCTTGACCAAATCAGATCCGGTTTTTAGGCGTGAGTGTAGGCAGCAAGCTGCGAGTGCACCTGCTACCTGTGACTGGTCTTTTGATAATACCGAGATCCGGTACTGTCAACCTGATAGGTCCCTTATGGTGTTCCTCATCGGTTTCTCACCTATGGTTCTAGCAACCACGTATTGTCATTGCTTAGGTACTTTATTTCACTAGGGCTGCAAAAATAGCAATGTTTTACGTTTATAATTTTTCTGATTATTAGCAGAATCTTCTCATCCATTATTTGGTTGCCCTGAAACATAGTTTGTCCAGGGAAGGCGGACATGACGTTTGGGTCTTTCTCTTTATTTTCAGCATACAGAGGTGTTTCCCTAGCATCCTCTAGAGGTGAGCAATGAGTCTATTTTTGGAGCATTACTAGGAACCCATGGATGTCATCATAACTTGTCGCGGCTCCATTCTCTGCAATTATGTACTGATTTGGTTGATGCTCAAAATATCCCACTTTCAGCCAGCACTCCTGTGTCCTTCTGACATGACCCAAGAGCCTTTGACCGCTTCCTTGCTACAGCAAAACGTTCCTGCGGTCAGAGGAACATCTTAAACTGCATGGGGACACGAGCAGCAAGATTTAGAACGTGAGAAAGTCTTCAGGAAAAACCGTTCTGTTTCATCAACAACAAATTGCAGGGAGGAAAAAAAGACACGAACCCTAAAGATTGAGAGACATCAGACATTGCAATATCTGGATTTTTTTTTTTCTTTTGACAGGCAGAGTGGACAGTGAGAGAGACAGAGAGAAAGGTCTTCCTTTGCCGTTGGTTCACCCTCCAATGGCCGCTGCAGCCGGCGCACCATGCTGATCTGAAGCCAGGAGCCAGGTGCTTCTCCTGGTCTCCCATGGGGTGCAGGGCCCAAGCACTTGGGCCATCCTCCACTGCCTTCCTGGGCCACAGCAGAGAGCTGGCCTGGAAGAGAGGCAACCGGGACAGAATCAGGCGCCCCGACAGGGACTAGACCCCGGGGTGCTGGCGCCGCAGGCAGAGGATTAGTCCATTGAGCCGTGGCGCCGGCCAATATCTGGATCTTGTATGGATTCTGATATTTACAGAAAACTGCTAAAAAATAGAATTAAGGAAGTGGATGATGATGATTGGACAACATTAGGAATATATAAACAGTGAATAGCCCTGAACTGTATACTCATAAAGGATTAAGAGGATAAACTGTTAGCTGTGCAAGAAGAAATAAGAAAGTAAAAAGTTAAAGGTAATAATGAGAAAAGGAAATTTGAACACTGACTGGTTTGATTATATTAAGAAATTATAAAAATTCTAGGTGGGGTAACATGATTATGTGCAAAAAATTCCTAATATTTTAAAGATTCGTACTGAAAATTATCGAGGAAATTATATCTGAAATTTGATTTACATTTATCTAGTTGGGGTGGGAGAAGTAAGCAGATGTGGTCTGGTGGAATACAAGGGACCATGTGTTGAATAGGATTCACTACGGATGTCCTTCTGTTTTTATATGTTTCAAAACTGCATGATAAAAAGCTTAAAATTTATTTTACTTTATTGTTATTACCATTTTTAAGATTTATCTGTCTACCTCAGAGGCAGAATCACAGAGAGAAGGAGAGACAGAGAAAGGTCTTCCATCTGCTGGCCCCTTCCCCAAATGCCTGCAATGGCCAGAGCTGGGCTGATCCAAAGCCAGGAGCCAGGAGCTTCTTCTGGGTCTAGCGTGAGTGCAGGGGCCCAATGACCTGGGCCATCTTCTACTGCTTTCCTAGGCCACAGCAGAGAGCTGGATTGGAAGTGAAGCAGCTCGAACCAGGAACTCAAACCAGCAGCCAAATGAATGCCAGTGATGCAGGTGGAGGCTTAACCTACTACACCACAGCACCGGCCCCTAAAATTGATTTTAAAATATAGATGATCTTAGAGTGAAGCTGAAGAGGAACTGATTGTGACAGAACTACACTGATTCCATAAATAAAATCTTGCCTAATTCAGAAATGTGTTAGCTACCTGCCAGCTGCAGTGGGAGTGTGAAATACAAAATCCCAGTGATGGGAATGGTGTGGCACAGTGGGTAAAGCCACCACTGTGACAATGGCATCCCATATGGGCACTGGTTCCCGTCCTGGCTGCTCCACTTCTGATCCCGCTCTCTGCTACTATGACCTGGGAAGGCAGTAGAAGATGGCCCAAGTTCTTGGGTCCCTGCACTCAGGAAGACCTGAACGAAGCTCCTGGCTTCAGATCACGCCAGCTCTGGCTGTTGTGGCCATTTGGGGAGTGAACAATCGGATGGGAGACCTCTCTCTGCCTCTGCCTCTCTGTAACTCTGCCTTTCAAACAAATAAATAAATACAAACATAAAACAAAATCCCAGTGACTATTCAAGGAGCATATTACTACCTTATAGAGGCATGTCAGGCTTTTTTTTGCACACATTAAACCCATTTGATTCTTACAATAACCTTGTGCGATTGGTACTATTGTTACAATGCCCATTTTACGAATACATGAAACAGGTTCAGAAAGACAGAGGTAGGCTTTAAACTTGGTGGCTCAAGTACTCGGCTCCCTGTGACACAGATGAGTTCTGGGATCCTGGCTTTGGCTCGGCCCAGACATGGCTGTTGTGGGCATTTGGCGGTGTGCCCCAGAAGGTGGAAGAGCTCTCTTTTTGTCTCTCTACCTTTCAAGTAAAATGAAAATAAATAAATTAAAAAGTAATTCTCTTTAAAGAGACATAGGCTTTAAACCGTTTAGTCTTTGTGTGGAGCCCTACTATTAGTAAGAGCAGCAGAAACGGCTCTTTTTAAATTTTTTGTTTGTTTGTTTTTGAGTGACAGAGATAGACAGAAAGAGAGAGAGAGACGAAGACAGAGGGAGAGAGCGAACTTCCATATGCTCGTTCACTCCCCAAATGGCCACAACAGCCAGGTTTGGGCCAGCAGAAGCCTGGAGCCAGGAGCTCCATTCTGGTCTCCCACATGGATGCGAGGGCCCAAGTCCCCAGGCCATAATCCGAGATGCCTTCCCGGCCGTTAGCAGGAATGCTGGGTGGGAAACAGAGCTGCCGGGTTGCAAGCCGCAGCTTACCCCACTGCGTCACACTGCCAGCTCCGACATAAATGGCTTTTAAAAGATACCAGCCCTGTTGTAAGCGCTTTATGTCTGCTAATTAACTTTAATGTTCACAACAGTAACCCCATGTCGAAGACACCCTCAGGAGACCCCTTTTACAGATGCGAACACTGAGATCCGGCGGTGCGGTAACTAAGGTTACACAGCCGGCAGTGGTGGAGGAAGCACTGGGGCTGGGGGGTTGGCTCCGCCCTCCTCCACCGCCTCAGGGTCAATGGTGAGCCGAGCCGCTCAGCTCCACCGCTTGGTAAACACCGACTGCCCCAAGCAGTCTGTAGGGAAGCCTTCCAGGAACTTGGAGGCCCAGCCCCAGGCTCTCTGAGGCGCTGTGGAGGAGACTTAGGGGTTCAGTTCGCTCTCCTCCGCCTAGGAGAGAGCAGGGGCCCAGCAGCCTCAGCTGGGCTCTTTGATCCTTGATGTTCCAGAGGAAAAACTCGAGGAAGTTGCCTGCGGATCGGCCCGCTGCTCCAGCACGGGAGCCGCCGCCCCTGGGCCCAGTGAGCCCCTGTCCCCACCACGCTCCTGTCTGCGCCAGAATACCTAGAAAGTTCGCCCTCTTCTACCGGCTTCTGCCTCGGTGAGCTCCTTCCTCGGAGATCGCAGCGTTCCTAAGGGTCACACTAACCAGTTCAGTACTTGATTTTAAACAAAGCTCAATTGTTTATCTTTTTTTTTTTTTTTTAAGATTTATTTATTTATTTGAGAGGCAGAGCTAGAGAGACAGAAAGCTGTTCCATCCGCTGGTTTACTCCCCAAATGGCTGCAATGGTGGGAAGTGGGCCCATCTGGAGCCGGGAGCCTGGAGCTTCTGCTGGGTCTCTCAAGGGGGTGCAGGGGCCCAAGTGCTTGGGCCATCTTCTACTGCTTTCCCACGCCATAACAGGGAGCTGGATGGAAGAGGAGCAGCCAGGACACAAAATGGCGCCCACATGGGATGCCGGCACCACAGGCAGAGGCTTGACCTACTATGCCACAGTGCCGGCCCTGTTATTTGACAATTTTACTGGATATCTCTTGCCTCTGATTAAGTGATAAATATTTACAAGACAGAAGCTAGGTCTCATGCTTCATTGCTATTTCTCCAATAGGCCCCAAACCATGGAGTGGGTGTTCACTCTGTATTATCTAAATGAATAAATTATATTTACTAGCCAGTGTAGTTTAGATGGCAATACATAGAATGGTTAGGAACACAGGCTCACCCTCTCTTTACTAGTTGTGTGCCCCTTTATGGCTTACTTTTCTTGCTTGTAAAATAGGGATAAAGTTTCTCATTCATGTGTAGTGTGCTTAGCCCAAGCCCAGCATGTAAGAAATGTTCAACAGGTGTTAGCAGCTAATACTTTTGGTAATACTAATTTCCTGGGAAAGGAAGGTTTTATTGGCTATTCAGCATCTTTGCTACAAGTGAAGTCAAATTTAATCAGCAGGTTGCTTGGTAAGCATGATTTAGTTGGCTCTGGAGACTGTGGGCCGTAGTGGAGCAAGAATGGAATTGAAGCCAGAAAGGAGTTCAGATGTCACCTGTGAACCTAGTTGTGACATTGTATCTTAAAAAAAAAAAAAAAGCACATTTTATTTCAGAAGAGTTTTAAGTTTACAAAACCAAAATTGTGAGGTAGTAATACAGAGCGGTATGCACCCTCATCCCATTTCTGCCATTAACATCTCATATCGGTATCTTTGTCACAATTAATGAACCACACCGTTTCTCCTTTTTTTTTTTTTTTATTATCCAAAACCCTTTTCTCCCTCCCATGCCATCCAACCTCCAGATCTTGGTTTTTATGAGCTTCAGTGTGTGTGTTTGCAAGATGGAAATGACAGTAGGTATCCCATTAGGCTGTTGTGTGCTTCAGATATGATTATAAAGTACCTAGCTGACAACTTGACACAAAAAGGAACTTTGGTAAGCCATGGTCTCAGTATCACCAAGCCTGTGGTGTTCCTCTCTGCAGAGAACGTGTTGGCTTGGTAGATGAGGCATCTGTGGTTTTCATTGACCCTTCTATGCTAGAAAGTTCTAATCCTCTGAATTCACTATGGTGCCTCTGTCTGATTCTTGGTGCTTAACTAAGCCACTTCTGTTTCATGCTTGCATGCACTCACATCGGGAATTTATGCTCAACAGCTCAGTAGCTTATTTTTCATGGATGCATATAGACCATCCTTGTTTTATTAGCTAACTGCTTCTCAGCTGATCAAACCCTCAGTCTACGGATGTCGTCCATTCCATTTGGGTGCTGCTTCGTGCAGTGAAGGGCAGCCTTCAGTGACGTGCCGCAGTGTTCGGCCCACAGGGAGGCTCCCGGACCACCCAGGAGAGAACGTCTCAGGCCCAGTGAATGGCGAGTTTGTAGGGGCTGAAGAAAGGCAGCTGAAGAGTTCTTTTTTTTTTTTTTTAAGATTTATTTATTTTTACTTGAAAGTCAGAGTTACAGAGAGAGGAGAGGCAGAGAGAGAGAGAGAGAGAGGTCTTCCATTCGATGGTTCACTCCCCAGTTGGCTGCAACAGCTGGAGCAGGGCCGATCTGAAGCCAGGAGCCAGGAGCTTCCTCCGGGTCTCCCACGTGGGTACAGGGGCCTAAGGACTTGGGCCATCTTCGACTGCTTTCCCAGGCCACAGCAGAGAGCTGGACAGGAAGTGGAGTAGCCGGGTCTCAAACCGGTGCCCATATGGGATGCCAGTGCTTCAGGCTAGGGCATTAACCCACTGCACCATAGGGCCAGCCCCAGCTGAATAGTTCATGACCAGAACCAAGAGTACAAGATAGAAAAAAAAAAATCAGGGATGAGATTAGGTGGAAAAGTGGAGACAGATTGTAGAGAAACTTTATGGTCAGTTTGAAAAATCTGATTGGAGGTGGATAAATGAGTGTCTTGCTGACACCATCACCATAGCTTGCTGATCGTAAAGAAAAAGAGAAATCTAATTTGACTCATCAAGCAATTAGAAAAGGCAAAGGATTTTTTATATATAACTTTCCATGATTTTTAAAATGTTTATTTATTTATCTTCATCTGCTTGAAAGGCAGAGAGAGAGAGAGAGAGAGAGAGAAGAGAGAGATCTTCCAACTGCTGATTCACTCCCCAAATGCCCACAACGGCCAAGGCTGGGCCAGGCGTAACCCAGGAGCTACCAACTCCTCTTGGTCTTCCACATGGGAAGCAGGAACCAAGCATTAGGGCCATTTTCCACTGCCCGCCCAGGCACATGGCGGGAAGCTGGATCAGAAGTGGACAGCTGGGACTTAGCCTGGCACTCCAATATCAGATGCCAGCATCTTCAAGTCAACCCCTCCATGTTTCTTTTTCTTTATTTCTTTATTTGTGAGGTAGAGTTACAGACAGGGAGAGGGAGAGACAGAGAGAGAGAGGTCTTCCATCTGCTCGTTCACTCCCCAAGTACCCGAAATGGTCAGGGATGGGCCAGGCTGAAGCCAGGAGCCAGGAGCTTCTTCCAGATCTCCCACCCAGGTGCAGGGGCCCAAGCACTTGGGCCATCTTCTGCTGCTTTCCCAGACACATTAGCAGGGAACTGGATGGGACATTGGGTGGACCTTCCATGTAGCTTCCCCTTTGACCTTGTAATTCTCCCACTGTGTCAGGGGGACTGGAGAATCTATTCTTTTATATGGACTTTGCCGCTCATATTCTGTTGTAAGGAGAAAAGGGACATGGATATCGGGTAGGCCATCTCTGTAGGAGTTAGGAACATTTTGTAAGTCAGAAAGTTTCGTAGGAATCAGGATGTTTAGTTTCTCTTGTGAAAACTGGAGGACAGAGCTGCATTTGGGGGCTGGGAGAAGGAAGGCTCAGCGGGATTAGAAGGCAGAGCTGGCCGGCGCCGCGGCTCACTAGGCTAATCCTCCGCCTAGCGGCGCCGGCACACCGGGTTCTAGTCCCGGTTGGGGCACCGGATTCTGTCCCGGTTGCCCCTCTTCCAGGCCAGCTCTCTGCTGTGGCCAGGGAGTGCAGTGGAGGATGGCCCAGGTGCTTGGGCCCTGCACCCCATGGGAGACCAGGAAAAGCACCTGGCTCCTGGCTCCTACCATCGGATCAGCGCGGTGCGCTGGCCGCAGCGCGCCGGCCGCGGCGGCCATTGGAGGGTGAACCAACGGCAAAAGGAAGACCTTTCTCTCTGTCTCTCTCTCTCACTGTCCACTCTGCCTGTAAAAAAAAAAAAAAAAAAAAAAAAAAAGAAGGCAGAGCTGGCTGAAGGGGAGAAGCCCGTGAAGGTTGGGCCGAGGAGGGAGCAGGAGGTCGGTGACCTAGGACAGGAGTGATTTGAGTTTGTGTTCTGCTTTGATAAAATTAGTAACTTGAGAGGATTGAGCTGGTAGAGAATGGGTTGACCATAGGAAGGAAGAAAGAATGGGGGGAGCTTTTACAGAGATTCTGGGGCAAGTGCTGAGGCCCCCGACCAGCAACGTCAACAGAAAAATAGTGGGAGCCACAGATGCCATTGAAAATGTTCCAGTAGCCATGGTTTAGTTTTTTTTTTAAGTAAAGGTTTCTTTCTTAATTTGAAAGGCAGAGAGAGAGAGCAGAGAGACAGAATATGAGAGATCTTCTATTTGCTGCTTCATTCCCCAAATGGCCACAATGGCCAGGGCTGGGCCAGGCCAAAGCCAGGAGCTTCTTCCAGGTCTCCCATGTGGGTGGCAGGGGCCCAGATACTTAGACATCTTCTGATGCTTTCCCCAGGCCATTAGTAGGGAGCTGGATCAGAAGTGGAGCAGCTGGGACACAAACCAGCCGCCATATGGGGTGCCAGCGTCACAGGCGGCAGCTTTACCCACTGTGCCACACAAGACACCAGCCCCTAGTAGCCACGTTTAAAAAAAAGAAAAGTAAGCAGATGAAACTGATTTTAATTATATATTTTATTTACCTAGTATATCTAAAATACTTTAACATATAATTGATAGAAAAAGTGATCAAGATTTTACATTCTTTGTTTTTATACTAAAACTTCAAAATCCAATATATATTTTATACTTACAGCACACCCCAACTTAGATGTTAAGTTTTCATCAGAAATACTAGATCTGAATTTAGAATGCATACATTTATAGTTGAAAAAATATATTCTCATAACCAAGTTGTTCTACACATACTAAAAAATCTGAATCAAGTACCTGTGAACTAAAATGAAATAAAAAATTAGGTTCCTGGGGACGGGCGTTGTTGCACACTGGGTTAGGCCGCGGTGCTGGGAAGTACGAGCATCCGACATTGGAGTGCCGGTTCAAGTCCTGGACCTTCGGATCCAGATCCGGCTCTCTGTTAATGTGTTTGGAAAGCAGCAGAAAATGGCCTGGTACTTGGGTCTCTGCCATGCACGTGGGAGACCAGTTTGGAGTTCCTTGCTCCCGGCTTTGGCCTGGCCCAGCCCTGGCGGTTGCTGCCATTTGGGAAGTGAACCAATGTATGGGAGATCTTTGTCTCTCTTTCTCTCTGCCTTTCAAAATAAATAACATGAATTTTAAGAATTTAAAAAAGAGGGCCGGTGCCGCGGCTCACTAGGCTAATCCTCCGCCTAGCGGCGCCGGCACACCGGGTTCTAGTCCCGGTCGGGGCGCCGGATTCTGTCCTGGTTGCCCCTCTTCCAGGCCAGCCCTCTGCTGTGGCCAGGGAGTGCAGTGGAGGATGGCCCAGGTGCTTGGGCCCTGCACCCCATGGGAGACCAGGAAAAGCACCTGGCTCCTGGCTCCTGCCATCGGATCAGTGCGGTGCGCCGGCCGCGGCGGCCATTGGAGGGTGAACCAACGGCAAAGGAAGACCTTTCTCTCTGTCTCTCTCTCTCACTGTCCACTCTGCCTGTCAAAAAAAAAAAAAAAAAAAAAAAAAAAAGAATTTAAAAAAGAAAAGAAGGACTCACGTTGACACTCATGGCACATAAAAAATGTTTATCAGATGAAATGCTTGTGGGGGCCAGTGCTACGCATAGAAGATTAAGCTACCACCTGCAGCACCAGCATCCCATATGGGCACCGGTTCAAGTCCCGGCTTCTTCATTTCCCATCCAGCTCTCTGCTAATGTGGCTGGGAAAGCAGAGGAAGATGGCCCAAGTGCTTGGGCACCTGCATCCATGTGAGAGACCTGGAAGAAGCTCCTGGCTCCTGCCTTTGGATCAGCTCAGCTCAGCTCTGTCTGTTGCAGCCATTTGGGGAGTGAACCAGTGAACCAGAGGGAAGACCTCTCTCTCTCTCCTTCTGTCATTCAAATACATTCAAATAAAATAAACAAATTTTTTTTTAAAGAAAGAAACCTTTCTGACAAAATCCTTAGTATCATTGTCTTCCAGAAGCATGCATTCATCCCATTTCCCACATTCTCCAGACTTCCTGGGTCCTTGTGTGTGTCCTGTTCCTTTGTCTGAAATCTCTTCCTCCTTTTTGCATGGGAAAACGTCAACCTGTGTTTTGAGTGTCCCTTCAGGTATCTTCTCTGTGACTCAGGCCTGATCCGTTGCCCCCAGCTGTGCCCCCATTTCGTGTTTCCATAGATCTGTTACGTCTTGGAGGCTGAAGACTATGGCTCCACTGTCCCTGTGTTCCTAGCGCTGCCCTACGGGTTCCGAAAATGGCCACCGAATGAAGCCGACCTGCAGCTTCACCTAGACCTCGCTGCTCTGTCGTCGCTTTAGGCAGCTGCTTCTTTTTTTTTTTTTTTTTTAACTTATTTTTTATTTATTTGAAAGACAGAGTTACAGAGAGAGGTAGTGAGAGAGAGAGGTCTTCCAGCTGATGGTTCACTCCCCAGATGGCTGCAAACGGCTAGAGCTGAGCTTATCCGAAGCCAGGAGCCAGGAGCTTCTTCTAAGTCTCCCACACGGGTGCAGGGGCCCAAGCACTTGGGCCATCTTCCACTGCTTTCCCAGGCCCTAGCAGAGAGCTGAATCGGAAGTGGAGTAGCTGGGACTCGAACTGGCCGCCCGTATGGGATGCCGGCACTCAGGCCAGGGCTCTAACCCGCTGTGCGACAGAACCAGCCCCCAACTTTATTTTAAAAAGATACACACAGCCTTCTCGATTCCATTTTTGCTCTCTTTGGATAGATGAATTCTGCTGGACATGACCCTTCTAAGTAGCAGACTTTAAGGGTGACTTCTAAATCAAAGCCTCAGTATGTAAAATCTGCCTGGTGTGGATTTATGTAAAATGCTTGCCTTCTCTCAGCTCGGTGTCAGTGCGCGCTGCTGTACTCATGCATCGCAGTGCACATGTGGGCCTTTGGGCAGCGGCCTTGTGTGAGCACAGGTACCAGCACGGAGCAGTTCTTCGATGATAATCACCAAGACTTTGCAGGTCAGGGTGCGGTACAAGAGACGAGGCAGACCTTCACTCCCAGGTGCGGAGGCTCAGGTGTTGTCGGGCATGGCCAAGTCCATGTGGGTTCCTTGCTTTGGAGGCTTTGGTTATCAGCAGTAAGGTGCAGTTTGGCAACATCTATTTCAAATCTAAGAGACATTTCCTTTGACCTCCAAATTCCACTTTTAAGCCGGCGCCACGGCTCACTAGGCTAATCCTCTGCCTTGTGGCGCCGGCACACCGGGTTCTAGTCCTGGTCGGGGCGCCAGATTCTGTCCCGGTTGCCCCTCTTCCAGGCCAGCTCTCTGCTGTGGCCAGGGAGTACAGTGGAGGATGGCCCAAGTGCTTGGGCCCTGTACCCCATGGGAGACCAGGAAAAGCACCTGGCTCCTGGCTCCTGCCATCGGATCAGCGCGGT